TAGAACAATAACAAAGTATTAATCTGTTAGAAATACTTAAATTTAATTTTAAACAATAAAGTAAGTTAACATTCATATATTTAAAACTGAAATGGTTAAGGAGGCAAGTTTTACCAGTTTTTTTCTTTCTCTTCATTTGTACACGTAGTCCCCCAAGGAGAGAAAAAACAGAATTTTTTTTGTGCAGGCATTCTCCTTCTATCACCCAGGCATGCGATATGCAAGTTACTTTTTTCTTTGCTTCCAGCCGAACATTTACCATGAAACAGGAAAGTCTAATGGCGATAAAGACATTGCGTATTATTGATATTTTTTAGGGAAATGTTGTAATTTTGAAAATTCGCTTTTACCCACTGTAGTGATCTTGGTGGTTAGCAGCGAAAGCTTTCAATTTACTTTTTAAAATGTGTAATTTGATATTCTTGTGATCTTTAATATCATTTGGGCCTAGTTTCTTGTTAAGTGTCAATGCTCTCATATTAGGTACTTTTTTGATAAAAGAGTCTTTTAGGGCAGTGGGGAACAATGTGAGGTTATCCTTTTTCAGCGGGTGTTGTAAATTGTGACATCAGAATTTAAACTAAGTGTTCCTTTTGTTTTTCATGAAGCAGAATTTCTTTGTGAAGGGACCAACTATTGCCAAGATATTTACCATGGCATGGTAGAGGAAAGCTTAGTTTATTAAACAAGGGTTTGCGAAAAGGACTGCCAGCTACGACGTGCTGGTTTCATTGTTCGCAAATATTCTTTTTTTGGATAATAAAAATGTGCGAGTGCTTTCGGGCATTCCCCCCAGAATATTATTTCCATGATTTTAGGTGAGAGTACACAATTTGCAAAATTACATTGTTCGCAGTGTCGTCAATGTTGAGCTTGACCTGAGGGGTTCAGGGGCATAGTATTATTTGTGAAGCTTTCTTGTTAAAGGTGTTTGAGATGTGAAGTTCCCATCTTTAGGTTTTCTCTGGGAACTTGGTTTAGTTCCGAAAAGTATGAGCGAAGGGGTTTCATTGAGAGTATCATTTGCAGGTATTGTTATGAGCAATGCTGTGAGTTTTTCTTTAAGGATTGGGATTCATCGAAATTTAAGGGGACTTGTTCTTGCCCTGTGTTTATGGATGAGTTGTTGTTGTCTTTGGAAACCATTGTTGCTTAGCCAAAGTTTATGTGAGTTTCCTTTTTTCAATGATTGTTGTGTTTTGCTTGGATTGATTATGGTTTGTGTTATCGTGCAAATCTATTAAAAAATGTTTTCCTAACCTCGTGTTCTTAAAGCCAAGGTAGTCATTTATGTTATATAAGGAATAGCATTTGGCCAAGGATGGGGATCTTGTGGACTTCACAATTTTTATTAACTTGTGAGGGACTGAGTAGTATTTGAGAGTTTGGTTTTCGTTTAGTGTGCTGGCAGGGAACTATTGGCCTCTGACGGTTGTAAATATCGATTTGATCCATTGGCCGCATGCCTCGAATCCCCTCTAAGCATTTCTAGTGTTTTTTAAAGTATAATGATTGGTCAATATTTGTCAAAGGGCTTTTGACAAATCTAAGAGGAAAAAGGGCGACAATCGAGGAATTTTCTTTCTATTTGTGCAACAAGTATTGGTCATTTAAAAAGGAGAAGATGCTGTTGTCTGTGGATCTATTACTCCTGAAGGCATGTTGTGCATTTGTAAGGACATTATTTGCATTGAGAAACTTTGAGTCTATCTTTGAAAAGCCTTTCCAGAATTTTTGAATATCCTGATAACAGGGAGATAGGTCTGTAGTTCATTGGATCATAACTATTGCCCTTTTTAAACAATTTAAATTTTTGCTGTTTTGAATATATCTGGGAATATGCCTGATTTTAGAGAGTAATAGCAGATGTGAGAGAGTGGTTGCACAATACATGAAGCACTGTGTTTAATAAGAAAATCTGGAATGTTGTCCATGCCTGCTGAGAATTTTTTCTCCATTTGTCCAATGATTTTAAAAATTTCCGAGGGGGTAATTTCATCTAAAAATATGGAATTTAAATTTTGTTTATATTAGTGTTTGATTGGTGTGTTTAATTGTTTAGAGAGTGTTGAGAGATTACTTATTACTAATTTGTGAAAAGTGTTCATTCAGCTATTTCTTGTGGGTCTTGTACAGTTTCGTTTTTGTAGTGGAGCTCTATATTTTTTGTTATTATTAGTTGGTGCTGTAGTCTTTTTAATAATGTCCCACATAGCTTTTGTTTTATTACGTGCATTTACAATGTACTTATCATTTGTTATAATTTTTGCTTATTTGATTACTTTTTTTAGGATCGAAATATGTTTTGTAATACGAAATGAAGTTTGAGTTACATTTGTTATTTGTTAGTATTTTATACTGTTGCGTTTTCTTTCACATGACACTTTGATGCTTGTGGTAATCAATGATTTAGTTTTCTTATTTTGGATCTTTTTGAGTTTATGAGGGAAAATGGAAATGAAAATTGAAGTATATATTTATGAAAGAGTTAAACTTATCATTTGTATTAGTTGTTTTATATACTTCATTCCAGTTTTTGAATCTGAGTAAGTTTTGAAATTTTATTATGTTTCCTTGGGAATAGTTACGAATTTCTTTGTAAGTTGTCTGTTCTGCAGTTTTTGTTTCTGTTTGAAGTGTAAGAATCTGGGCTCACTGAAACCTGTATTAAATGTAGCAACAGAAAAACAATGGTTATTTGCATCTATTATTATTTGATCTATAGCAGTGCTACTATTTTTGGATATTCATGTTGGTGTATTTATGATTGTTTGTAAATTGTATGATTTTAGTAGGTCTTAAATAGATTTTCATTACTGGATTGTGTGAGGCAATTTATATTGAAGTCACCACAAAGAATAGTTTTATAATGTCTGCATTTTTGAAGTTTTGTTAGAATAACTTCCAGATTTTTTTAAAAGGTTTTCAAATTTCCAGCAAGGTTGCGCTATGTACATATGACCCTTGTTTTTATTGTTGTTAAGTCAGTGATAAATATTTCAAAGTCTTTCTCTTTTACAAGATGAGTGTGATTTGTGTAGGGTACAAAACTAATTGTATTTTTAATAAAAATGCATGTCCCACCATATGCAAGTTGTGCGTTGTTAATATTTCGACATGAGCTGCTGGCTAGAGAGAAACCTGGTATATATGTGTTATCTAATTGTTCTTTACTTAGCCAGTGTCCTGTGAAGCACAATACTGAAATGTGGTTGAGTTTCTCCTCAAGTAATATTTCTATATCAGTGAGTTTATTTTTCAGTGACTGTACATTTTGGTGAAGAATGTGAAAATAGTTTTTATTTTTGTGTATTATCTGCTTTCCTGCCAATGTTTGATGCAACTCCTGTCAATATGAGTCGAGTCGAAGCTCTGAGATTTTGAAAAAAATTATCTAGAATTTGGGGTTACATGAAGCCCTCCTGACATTTTTCAAAATTTTCTCAAAAACAGCTGCATTTTTAAAAAACATGTCTAGTAGGAATACAGTAAACACTTGTAAAGGTTAACTTTAGATGATCGAAAGATTTGAAAATTTCTAAGCGTATTCCTTCAACTACAAAATTGAAGATAAAATAAATAAAATTCGTTCTCCATAGTGAGTTCTTCCATCATGGTTATGTAAATTTTTTTTTGAAAATTGTACTAGTTTTTGCGCACTATTGCATGCAATATGTGCAATTTTAAATAATAGATTAAAAGATGTATAAATAATTTAGATTGAAGTAATAAAGATCTTCTCCAAAACAGCTCCTAAATTTTCTTTAAACCTTTATTAGGAATAGTGCTAAATGTTGTACTCTATACGAAGACATAAACGCCATATTAGCCTATTCTTTTTCTTTTCAAAAATTACAAAAATGTATTTTTTTTACTTGTCTCACATCGTTAATTATCTCAGCTGCAATTTGTTCACATTATTGCATTTTCTGATTACATATGCTTGAAATTATAATTATATATAATAAAATGTAATACAATATAAAAAAGAAAAAATTTGGAGCCGTTTTTGATAAAACGGCGATTGAGCGAAAAATTCGTAATTTTGAGTTCGTTTCCACAGAAAAAGGTTTTGTCAAAAACGGCTCCAAATTTTAAGTGTATATAGAGCTAATTGCTATATAATTTGCTTATTGCATTTTGCTAGATAATTTTCTTTTTTGAAAAATTACAGAAATGTTATTTCTTTAAAATATGTCTCATGCCGTTCATATGCAGCAGAGTTTTCGAAAAACTTCATTCGAAGTCATTTACAGCTCAATAAGTCACAAATACAATAGTGTTTACAAATTGCTAGAAATGTGCATAATAACGGCGTGAGATATCTTTCAAAGAAATTTCATTTGTGTAACTGTTGAAAAAAATGAACAACCAAAACATGAGACAATTAGCACTATGCGTTCGAAAAGTTTGAAGAAACAATTTGGGGCAGTTTTTGAAAAAATGGTAATTGAGCATTTCTGTAAATGCGGAATTTTGAGCTGGTTTTCGTAGAAAATTATTGAGTTTTCGAGAACATTTATTTTACTTTATTTAAAGAACATGTACTCATAAATATAATGTCAATAAATTGCCACTAATATAAATATTGACGACGTGAGACAAGTAAAAAAATACATATTTGTAATTTTTCAAAACAAACAATGAAAAAATAGAGCAATATGGCGTTTAAGTAATCTTGTTGAGTGCATTAGCACAATCCCTATCAAAGGTTTAAAGAAAAACACTGGAGCCATTTGTTATAAAAATTTGTAAATGTTCCAGAGGCTTCATGAAAAGTACCCACAAAAACGAATGTATGATTTCCAAAATTGCAGAGCTTCGACTCAGGCCAAATGAACAGGCGTTTCTTCAATTTGGAAAAAATCCAATGCATGGTTTAGGCACTGGTGTTGTTCACATATGCTAGACAGATGGACGGACGTTTTTAAAACAACAACTTTTTCGGTATCAGAGGACCCCAAAACGTGTATTTCCTTTGAAATCTCGAAATCGATTTTCCACATTACATAACCTTTCCTATACTACGTATATTTCTCAGTATAAACGGGAATGTAAAAATTAAGCAAGAAGAATAATGTACCACATGGACCTCTCACTTTCTCATGAAAATCCACTGGCATCTTCAGATGTGCACTCCGTCCATCATAAAACAATCCGCAAGTCGCGCTTTGATTTTCTTATATGATTCGTTCATCCTCGAGACCGATCGGTCACAACTGGTCACAACCGAAACTACAATTTTACAGTCCCGCATGAACAATACAGAAATGCTATCTGCCTGTCGTCAGGATGTTATGACGTGTATATAAAAATTGATTAGCGAGTGTTTAGGAAAGCGGAAAGTCAGAGTTTAGCCATGATTTGTTTTCTTTAGGTAAACAGTGCGACTTTTAATTTTAATTCATGGATTTAGAGAAGAAATACAACACTAAAAGTCCAGGTAACATTATATTTTTCTTGTTGGTATAATAATTGGCTCAAGTTTTAAAATAACTATAATTATTTTGACTTCATTGCAGCTGTTAAAAGGTTAATGCGAGAGGCATGTGAACTTAAAGATGCCACTGAAGAATATTGGGCTCATCCTCTAGATGACAACTTATTTGAATGGCACTTCACTGTTCGAGGACCTCCATCCACAGATTTTGAAGGTGGTGTGTATCATGGGCGTATAATTCTTCCTCCTGAGTATCCTATGAAACCACCTCATATAATTCTGTTGACAGTAAGTATTATAATTTTCAATGTTATGTAGATTCTAAGATGGAAATTGATAATAATTCGTGATGTTCTGTGCTTGCATGTGGCAATTCACACAAGTAATATTTTTCAAATGACATTTTAAAATTAACATTAATAGAAAATATTAAATGGTCATTATTTGTTTATTAGTGATGTGCCAATGTACAATGAAATGTGATACAAATGTGTATACTTAATTATAATATTTTTTATTAAATAAAGATAGTTACTAGTATTTATGGAATGTTTTTATCACACATTATTTTGTTTCAGCCAAATGGAAGATTTGAAACCAACAAGAAAATATGTTTGAGCATATCAGGCCATCATCCAGAAACTTGGCAGCCTTCCTGGTCAATCCGTACAGCACTTCTTGCATTGATTGCTTTTATGCCAACTCCTGGAAATGGCACAATTGGATCCTTAGAATATACTCCAGAAGAGAGGCAAACTTTGGCTCACAAGTAATTTTTATTTTGAATTATGCCATTATATGCTTTGTGATTTGTGATGTAATATGACTTGAATTTCAACTTATAATTAACAAAACTCACATTCTTTTTTAATGTTATGCAATTGAAAGTGTTGATGAGTCAAATCTTACATAATAATTATGATACCCATTTTAAGCAGCTTTTTGAAGTTTTTCAGGAAATTATTCACATAAAATATTTTTGTCCCTTAAAGCATTCATGAAGTGAAGATTGTGGGTCATTTGATAAGTAGCTTGGTTCGATTCAAAAGACTACAGTCTGAGTTTTGTAACTTACCTTATTTCAACATAATCCCCCCCGAAGTTCAATGCACTTTGTCCAACATTTCTCCAGCTTCAAGATTCCTTCTCTAAATTTATTTTCTTCAAGACCCCTAAAATAGTTATTGACCAACTGAATGGATTCTTCAGTGATCACACATTTTTGTCCAACCATGAAAATTTTTAATTTTGGGCACAAATGCAAGAGTCTGAAGGGGGTCAAATCATGTGAATAGGGTGGGTGCGGGAGCAGTTGAAAACGAAGTTCAGTCAGTTTTTGCTGAGCAAGTTTTTGCTTTGATGGCTTCAATGTGCTGGTGCATTATTGCGATGGAACCACACTTTTTTTCTTGCCATTCCAGGACGTTTATCCATGATAGCTGCCTTCGGTTTGTCCGGGAGGGATGCATAGTATTGAGGGATGTATAGTGTAGAGTGGTGTTTTTTTCTTTTTTGAGGTAGTATATGAGAGGAATAAATGTAGTCTCCCGAAAGATACCATCACCTTCCCTGGGGATGATTGATTGATTGATTGATTATTAACAAATAATTGATTAACTATAAAGGAGAGGTATCTAGTAAAGATATTTTTAGACATTTTTTTTGTTACAATATTTTAAAACAAATAATGAACTTCGAAACTTTTGGATCCAGTGGCAATTCTTGACCAAACGAGGGGCCAAGACAAGTGTATAGCACCCTGATATAGCAATAAGTGTACTAGCAATGCCCTTCAAATACTGAATGCATTACAAACTTTTATTTGATAAGATTTTATATTCATGTGTGGCCCATTTGACTTTTACAATGACTGATCTACAGTTCAGGTGTTGGTGGCCATTACTTAATTAACTAATTAACAGATTTTTTTTATGTCCCACTTAAATCAGTAGATGCCTTCCAGAGGATGGAAGGGTGTCTTACATTCTTCCTTGGGATTACCAAGTAATAAATTTTCTCTGATGTTTGAGGGGAAAATGTACAATTTTTGTATTGATGTTTATGAGGAAATTTATTTTGATAGAGATTTATGCCTTTAACCTCTGCAAAAAAATCTAAAATCACAGAGAATCACCTCCCTTGCTCTGTCATCTATTGGCCGATTTTTAACTAAATGAGTGCATCATAGTGTGCGAGTCAAGTAATACTTCAGCAGACAAGGGTCAGACTTGAGTGGCTTGTGTAATCTGACACTGTGAACTCGGAGATCTTTTCTAAAGCAAATTGACACATGTATTCTTATTTGTGTATATGTATATATACACATACATATATATATATATATATATATATATATATATATATATATATATACATACATATATATACATACATACATACATATATATACATATATATACATAGAAACAATGACAATAGAAATTACTTTAAAATAATGCATATCTATGAGGGATTTTTTATGTCAAATTTGAAATATTTTTTCTTCGAAAATGTATTGCTAAGAAAATGTTTTCAACATTAAATTATGTTTTCTTCAAATTATTCCAAGAACGTTTTGGAGAGTAAAATTGTAAGAAACAATTTGCGTTGTGTAGTGGAAGTTTAAGTGGGTGGAGTATTGGAGCTAAATCCCAGTGAAACAAATTTTATTTTACTTAAGATTCATTGTTTCCAACATATTACTTAATTCTGCTTGATTGCGTTGTTTACAATCTTACCCAGCTAAAACCTAGTTTAAAATTGAAAGAATATTATGCCATACAGTTTTATTTCTACACATTATGCTGTAGAGGAGAGTTTTGTTACAGTGAAAAGTTATCAATAATGGTTTGCAACTCTGGATTGTGTTTATTATGCTGATAATTGACAAAGTTTTATTTAGATTAGAGTATGACTGTGGTAATGAAAAATCAACCATTTTATGATGAAAGTATTTGTTAAAATATCTTTTGTTATTACAAGTTATACAGACTAATCCATTCATGAAATTTTAGCCAATATCACGCAAATTCAGATACCTTTCGGAGATGGGATGTGTAAAATAATCACTTTTCCATTAATACTTCCTTCTATGTAGTAATTATTGTTGCTCTTCTATGTACAAAGAGATTTCATTTAATTTTGCTGAAAATTTGTCATGGCTTTTAAAAAGACTGTCGCACTAAGCTTAAGTTATTATTCATAATGTCAGATCAGTATGCTAGTAATATTCCCTGCCACTGGAGTTCAGACTCGAGTCTAATACCCTGTTTTTGACATGATCAGCAATTTCCCTACATTTTCCCTGAAAAAATGACTGCTTTACAATTTCCCTGAGTTTTTCAGTTTTTCCTAGAAATTGGTAACCTTGTTAATGAAATCTTGTGCATTCAAAATCACTCTTTACATTCCTTCAAAAAAGGCTGTAGGGGACATAAGCAGGGATAGATTATAATCTAATTTCAAAGAAAAGTCATGGAATTCTTTATTTTTGTGATCAAGGGGTAAAAGTTCTTTAGTAAAAAATCCTAGGAGAATACAAGGGTTAGATATTAAGCTGATTAAGATACATTTCCCAATGCTTTTTTGTCGTTAAGGAGGCAACATGAATTCTGTTTTTTTTACTGAAATAGATACTTAACGTGTAGTTTCAGTACTTAACAAAATTTTTACAAAAATGTTTTTAACAACTTTGACCCTGTGACCACTGATTTATTTTTCTACTTGAGAATTTCAAGAATATTATTTTGTACTATTCTGACAAAAAAATTATCTTTTTATACAAAAGGCTTTTATTTTTAAAGGCTTCAGTTCACAATCTCAAATTGAAAAGATCCATATACTCTTGTAATTAAAAGCAGGGAAAAAACTGATTTTCCCTAACTTCAGTTCTTTTAGAAACTGTCCTAAAAAATGTATTTCTCATTGTTTACCTCATTACATGCATTTTCTTTGTAGATCACAATTGTGGGAATGTTCTGAGTGTGGAAAGATATGTAACCAGCTGTCAAGTGCTTCCTCAAAGCCACCTACACAAGAGGAGAGTGATTTGATTAATCATATTGCACTCAAGGTAAGAATAGCGTAATAAGAAAAGCATTTTCGTAATAATAATAATAATAATAATAATAATAATGATGATGATGATGATGATGATATTAATTATAATAATAGTAATGATAATAATTATTTTTTTAGTTTCCAAAGAATTACATCGATAGTGTACATCATGTATAGTATATAATATAATAACTATATTATATATTACTATATTACATAAAGAAAATTAGAACAATAACAAAAACCATCACCATAAAAACAAAAAAACAGGTGGAAAGAATAGTAATTTTGCTTGACTACATTACATCATGTTAAACCTGTTAGCAAAAATACATTTCTTATCAATTTTTTAAAAATCTTGTACACTAAGTACTTTTTGTACTTGTCAGAGAGGGGTGTGGTACTTTTTTTACATATTACCATTGTTGTCTCCAATTTACACAATCATCAGTACAGTTTGCTTGTTACTGTATGATGTGTGAACCGTTTGTACTGAAATTTAAATTATTTTCCAAGGAACAAATAGAAATTGTAAGCTAAATGGCAATTAACATTAACATGTAGTAAATTGTCTACGTTACACATTGGTTATTGATCAAGCAATAGCAGTCAAAATTAATAGACAATTAATTAAATAATTAGGAAGTAGCTAATAAGACACAATAACAAAAATAAGACTTTACTATGAACAATTAACAATTTGCTTAATTACTAATTGACAAATTATAATCTGAAATAAAAATAAAAAAATCAATCAAAGTGAATGAGAGTAGGCAACACTCAAAAATGGGAATTAAGGAAGAAGAGAACCATTATACATAATTAACACTTTAAAATATTGTAATGACTGTAGTTGACAGTAAAATTAAGATTTACTTGTGCATAATTAACAATCTTGTACACCTTCTTTTAATTTTTTAAAAATTTATTTCCTATATTCATAATAATAATAATAGTAATAAACATTGCATAGTTAGATTATCAAAGGGCAAATGGCAATAATTATTTATTTCAATGTATAAGAAAATAAAACAATAAAAGAAAAAAATTACAAATCAATCATAAAAATGCAACAGGCAAAAATGAGATTGCGTTTGACTAAAGTAAAAAATTGACATCATATTGTCAGTAAAGTCTGTTTATATTTTCTTTGTTTTTTTAATTATTTTGTTTTAGTTCCTCTTGTGTTTTTTATTTTTTGTTTTGTCTAGTGAACCAGTTTTTTAGTTTCCTTTTCAATCTTTTTGGATGTAACTTCTATCATTTCACCCATCAGTAAGTTGAGCAGTTTTGGAATAGCTGTTTTAAGCATTCTTTCTCCAAATTTATTATAAGTCTCTGGTAATATGAAATTGCGTTTGTTTGTAGTTTCATAATTGTGCTCACTAATTTTTCTATATTCCTCATTGAAAAAATGTCTTTGTAAAATTTGAAATACTGCAATTTTCAAACGGCCATGATTCCATACACCGCTGTACTCTCTTCCAGGGTTAGGTTTATTATATGCAATTTTTCGTTAAGGATTTTAATGCATTAGTTCTGTAAATTTTGAATAATACCTACGTGGGTTTTTGATGCAGATCCTCATACTCCAATTCCATATCTGATCATAATATAATAATAACCAACACCACCACCACCACCAACACCACCACTAACAACAACAACAACAACAACAACAACACCAACAACACCACCACCACCAACAACAACAACAACAACAAAACAACAACAACAGCAAACCCCCCCCGTGTCGTGCCAGGGATTTTAGTAGATTAGCATTACGGGACCTCCCTCTGTCATAGAAGGCGACTAATCGGAGCAGCTGTCCGCTGTCACTTCCCTAAACATCCTGTAATTCCCACAATCTTGGTGTGTCATTGCTTCCACATGTGACACACTTCCGTTTTCCGTCCAGTAGGCCAATCTGTCAACTTTTGTGTGTTTGACCCCAACGCTTTTAAGTTGCGAGGGCTAGGGAGTCGTTTCTATTCTACTCTTGTATTCTAACTATTCTTCACTGTCCCCTATTTTGTTTTCCATTCCTTTTTAGCTGGCGGTAGCACGAAAATGATAGGGGAAGGCGACTGTGAAGAAAAAACCCGGAATGGAAGGTCTTTCAGGATCAACCATTACGATTCAGGAGATCGGAGCCCTGGTACCGGCGGCTGGTGGTGAGCAAGCTGGCCACCAGGCGTCGTCTCCCAGCGACTGCAATGCCAAGGGTGCGGGCCATTGAGCACCCCTGGTATACGTTGCTACGAGTGAGAGCAGAATAATGAAAACATGGGAGGTCATTCAGCAGCTAGAACACCAGAGCAAGATTATTGAGGGTCTGAGCCAAAATCTTCAGATATTAGAAAAGTATGTTGAAGAACAACCCGGTGACCGTGAAGGATGCGATGGCTAAAACACGAAAAAACATCGATGCCCTGAGGAATGGATGGTGCGATGCAGGCGATAAGAGATTCTCAGAGATACTGAACTCCTGTTCAAAAAGAGAAGACAAGGCTAAGGGAGGGAAAAATAGACTGGATGCACAGGAAAAAAAGAGCGGTGCGTAGTCCCCCAGAGGAGACTAACAGAAGCGACAATAAAAACAGAAGGAAGCCGTAGAAAAGATCAGTAATAATTCCAGAAGAAAGAGCAAATCGCCAGATAAAAAAAGAGTAAGTGCCGAATTCATAGTCTTGTCTTATACTGAGTGTTCCCTTAAGTGGACGAATCGTATTCATAAACAGCCCTTGAGTGAAGTCTTTAAGAGAGCACTCATTCCTATAAGCGAGGCAGCCTGCTCCTTTAAGTGTCCTTTATGGCTCCCTCGCATCGTCAGTAGTAATCAGTTTAGGTTATACTTTTACGCGGCGAACATCGACTATTGAATTCGTTTTGCTGGTGTTTGTATAGTGTAGACAGTTGAAATATACCATTTGTGAAACGTGTTATGGAAAACGACTTCAAAGATTATTTTGAGTTTTATACTCAACACATCTTGCGAAATTCCAAGAGATATATTCGAGATATGAGAAACCCATCGGAAATGTAGAATGATGAACAATTCCGAAAGCAGTTTCGTTTCAATAAAACTACTTTAATGGATACATTTGTGCCGATGATCAACAAAGTCCCAATGACTAAAAGAGGATTGCCGATTTCCTCTTATTAAAATTCTCGTTGCATTAAGATGTTATGTAACTTCATCCTTTCAGGAATGTTTCCAAAATGTTTAACTTTTATTCATTTTGATTTATAAGACCTGTTATAAGTAATTATGAATTTGCAATATGAATAACAAGTGAAGAAATTTTAATTGTTGTAAGATGGAATTTATGTTAGTACTATATGGGGTTGACATTTTCAATTAGATGAAATGTTAATAATCCATTACCAATATTGGCAGACTTATGTTCATACCATGTTACCATACCAACACTTTATGTTCATTCATTATACTAGAGTATATGTTAACGTTGAGGAATCAATTGAAACTGATGTTAAGTATTATTTTACAATCCAATAATGCGCATAAATAATGTGTAGAAAATACACAAGACATTGCAGAGATTCATTAAACGTTTGATATGGATTCTATGGTTCATGGATTATATTTTTTACCAAACATTTCTTATTATTAGGTATTTGGAATTAGTACATTTTAAAAATATTAACATGTTACCGGTGTCAAATAGTCATTGAAATTATATGAGAATAGTAGATTATATTGTTACATTTCTGCTTGTTATTAGTGATTGGTAGTAATCACATACCAACATCAAAACATCACGTTTTGTCTGTATGAGAAGTTATTAGAGGTAGTAGAAGTATTTCGTCGTGCGCGCGACGTCAAATCTATGTTGAAGTGTCCGCCCCCTCTTAAATTGGACGCTCTTTGTACAAGATGAAGTGCGTGTGTAAACTCGATTGCCAAGAACTTCGAAACAGCTGCCATGTTGCCACATTTCCCTTTTTCTTAAGGGAACACTCATTCCGCGGTCGTAAGGACCGTCTATGAAATACGAGCGCCTATAAGTGAAAACTTATTTTGAGAAAACACTTATCACTTAAGGGTTCGCTTATCCTGTAAGTGACGACTACGAATTTGGCCCTAAATCGCTCGAAACAGAAGGGTTTCAGGACAAAGAGCAATTTAAAATCCAGAAAAAGAGCAAAAAGAAAGATAAAAGAGGAAAGAGGCCAGACCCGTATTTAAAAGAATTGGGGTTCTAAAGATTACACAAAGACAAGAGGATTCATATGCTGACATCTTAAAGAAACTCAGCACCTCAGAAGAGATGAAAGAGAACGATGTGGTTCTAAGGGCTGAATTCATAGTTGTCACTTAGAGGATAAGCGAATCCTTAAGTGATAAGTGCTTTCTCAACATAAGTGTTCACTTACAGGCGCTCGTATTTCATAGACGTTCCTTACAGTCACGGAATGAGTGTTCCCTTAAGTGGAAGGAAAATGTGACAACATGGCATTGGCGGCAGCTGTTTCGACGTTTTTTGCTACTGAGTGTACACACACACTTCATCTTATGCAAACAGGGGGAGGGCACTCCAAAGTCGAGTTGTCGCGCGCTGCGACCACTTGTCTATCTCATTTGTTGTGTTTATAATACTTAACATCAGTTTCAATTGATTCCACAACGTTAACTATGCTCTGGTATAACTAATGTAAATGGCATGAACACTGGCCTGCCAATATTGGTAATGGATTCGCATAAATTCCATTTACAACAATTTAAATACTTAACTTGTTATTCATATTGCAAATTCTTAATTACTTATAATGTCTTATAAATCAGTAATTAATAAAAGTTAAACATTTTGGAAACATACCTGAAATGATAAAGTTGCATGAAATATTAATGCAACGAGAACTGTTTAAATAAGGGGAAAATCAGCGGACCTGTCATTGGGACTTTGTCGATCATCGGCACCAGTGTATGCAGTACAGTAGATTAATTGAAACGAAACCGCTTTCGGTATTGTTCATCATTATACATTTCCAATAGATTGCTCATATCCATAATGTATCCCTTTGAATTTCGCAAGATGTGTTGAGTATAAAACTCAAAATAATCTTGGATGTCGTTTTTCATAACTTCTCACAAATGGAACGTTTTAACTGGCTACACTATTCGAACACCAGCAAAACTAATTCAATAGTCGGTGAACGCCGCGTAAAAGTATAGTCTAAACTGGTTACGACTGACGATGCGAGGGAGCCATAAGGGACACTTAAGGGAGCTGCCTTCCTTATAGGAATCCCTTAAGACTTCACTCAAGGACTGTTTATGAATACGATTCGTGTACTTAAGAGAACACTCTGTGTAAGTGACGACTATGAATTCGGGCCTAAGAAGAACAAGTAAGGAAGAACGGATCGAGTTGAAAAAAAGCAAGTGAACTGATTGTTTACCAAAAAATGACTAAAACATTGAGCGAACTCGCTAAATTCGCTCGGAGACCATAGGTATCGCAAGAGGTAAGGGACATCGAAGAAGCGACAACTAAAGAGGAAGTCATAGCGGATGTGGAATAAGTCCAGTCCATAGCTGGAGAGGAATAAGGCGAGAATTGAAATTGAATGCGCACTGCGGAAAGGTTATTCCGGAATGCAAACAGTATTAAAGAGTCTCAGAGACGCTTGCCAACGAGATTCTCAAGATGGGAAGAATACGAATAGAGCTTGTGAACTGTGGAATTAGAGAAAAAATCCAAGTTCACTATTGCTTCCGATGCCTGGGCTATGGCCATGTGGCCAGACAGAAGAACTGCTGTTCGAAATGTGGTAAAGTAGGGCATACTAGGAAAGAATGTTAGGATAAAGAATGTTGTGTAGCTTGCAAGGACAAAGGAGTTGAAGACGGGCATGCGTCTGGACGCGGTAAATGTCCCTTATTCAGAGAAGCCCTTGTACGAATTAAACAAAGGGCTTATGGATCTAAAGTTCCTGCAAATAAATCGGTAGAGGCCCAGAAGTTCAAAATTTTCTGATGAAGACAGCGAGTCAGAATAATATTGACGTGCTGCTTTCTAGCGAATCTAACCGTTGACAGCACTTGGCTGAATGGCACCAGGATAGTACAGGGAGAGCGACTATCGTCTTATGTAACCCGCGAACCAAGGTGAGTAAATGCAAGCCAACTGACCACGGCTTTGTGTGAGTGGAGACAGAGACCCTGAGAATATACGATTGTTATTTCTCCCCAAACAATGGACTGCAACAATTCATGGATAAACTTGAGGTAGAAAGCATAGGCTAGTCCAAATGAGTTGTACTGGTGACCAGAGACTTCAATGGGAAATATCCGGAGTGGGGCGAAAGGATAGACGGAAGGGGGATCCTAATAAGCGAAATGATAGCCCGAAACGACAGGGTGGTAATAAATAGAGGAGACGCCAAGTCAATAATTCCATATGGTCCACATTCCAGGGCCTGCAATATATCGATGCCCCGAAAGACAGTCAGCAGTTATCATAGGGGACCAAAATATTGGTGGACAGAAAGAAAGGGTTTGGAAAGAAAAAAGACGCAGAGCATGTTATTTTCCTGCTGAAATTTTAAAATAGAGAAATAACCAACTCCAGTATTGGAAAGGAGATCTCACCAAACAACATAGTAGAAGAAATGCTAGAAACAGAAGAGAACTGGGCAAAAATTCATACCTGTGAAAAGAGTTATGAAGAAAGAAGCCCTCAGAGGAATGGATTTGAAGTATCACAGAGATCACCGAGCCAGTCTGGCAGGATGAAATGCCATAGCTGCAAATTCCTTGTTAAGACATTCTTGCTTGAACGGAGGGGGTTTTAATGGGTAGACCAACTCAAGAGAGTGACACACGAAGTTTCTAAACCTTATGGTGCATGAAACATTTTTCCCACCTCAAAAAAAAATCTTTCTTGTATTATTATCACTTAATTGTGTAGGGTTATGTATATCGCCTCAGTCCAACTCATCTTTATTACGATACATTACATTTTCAACTTTCACTTTTTTACTTTCTTGTCTTACCTAGTTAAGAGAAATTACTGAAATGCTGCCGCAAAAATCGGCCATTTTTCGACAGAAAATCTCCTTTTGTAGGGCTTGGTACAAAAAAAGGGAATACATCTTGTTCCTACATGAAGTAAATCACAGTCGCCTCAAGTTATAATAAACTTATGGGGACTAACATTTTTGTTTCACTATATCAGAAGTTGCAATATCTGGTGTCAAAATGAAATATAATTTCTCCACAATGATTTTTATTAACATAAAAACACAGCAAAATACATTAACAATATGAGCTGAAAATTTCAGTATATTCTTTTGACATTAAAAAAATCAATTATTTTCAGTTGTTTGCTTTGGTTATTTTTCAATAGTAATTTATGTAGATCCTTCTCCAGAGTTTGTGCTCTCCAAACTTGATTCTGCATTTTCCACTGTCGGCAGTCTTTGACACCCTTCAATGCCTCTTGCACTGTTGGAAAACTCTGTCACTCTCTGAAGACCCTAATAGTATTTGAGATCCTTTTAGTAGTGGTGTGGCGCAAGTTGCTAATGACACTGTCGCTGAATGAAACATTCTGGGTCTGCTCCCTCCACCTCCCTCAGGGGAGACTTCTTCTATCATGATCTTTGGCCTACGATATTTTTCCAAGCTGCCTAGTATTCGAATTTGTGGCATACACTATTCAGTGTACTTAATACCACTTTAAACTTATAGATATTGAGCCAGTGTTGGAGGATGCAACTTTATATTGTTCCATGTGTGATATAAGCAACAAGTAGCTTTGTTAGTAAGAGTGTAGTATGTTTTGTACATCTGTGACAACTTTGTTTCAGGGAGAAGACAATGTTTCTGGAAAACACACTGACAATCATGCTGCGGCAAATCCTGATGGCACACCTTACAGGGGAAATGCAAGTCAAGTAAGACACAGAGCAACTCTGCCTCCTGGGCAAGTTTCAAGTCTTCCCGATCAACAATCCGTGGTATCTGGCTCCAGCAGTAGAGGCAGCCTCAGAAATATACTTATATGGGTTATTGTTATTGCTATTGTATTATTAATATTTAGGAGACTTTTTTTGTTGTGAATATTGACCTATTTATACGCTTGATCATTTGTGATGTATGAAATTCTGAATGGTTCATTGTATGGTATAATTTTGAACTGAGATTGAGATAATAAATGTATTTCAGATATATGTACCTTGCTGTTAAGAGTAGCAAGAACATTATGAAGATTAGTTAAATTAATTTTCAAGAAAAATAAAATGGTATAAAAGCTTTATGATAAGATTTTCTGTTTTAATCTGTAAGAATAATCTGTTTTAATCTGTGTACCTCCACCATATTTCCAGTGATTCCATTTAGCTTACGAATCCTCTCTGCAATTTCTGTTGAATATTTTGTTCTTTTTCTTTTTTCAGACTTTTCTGCAGATAAGTTTCTAAATCATATCAAAACAAACAATGGTGCTAAAACAGCGTATACTTTCTCACTCTTAGTAATTAGGTAATACTATTTATACCACAATTTGTCTTCGAATTAACATATCAGACCTCAATTTATTGTAAAATTGAAATTTTTGAAAAAGTGTACATGACCTTATTTCAAAATCTACCTTTAAGGAACAGGAATCATTAAGGAGAAAAATCTCTGTCTTCATAACTGCTAACTCCTAATCTCCGTCTTCATATTTTGGATTTGGGCTAATTTTTTAAAAATCGGAGTTTTCAACGAAAAAACGAGACCTGTGCGTGTCTATTGAACTTCCTTCTCACTAACCAACATTTTTAAAAAAACGACCCTTTAGTTTAAATGTCTCAGGGGATTTATCCTTCAAAATTAAAATATTCCAATACAAATTCAAGGGGCCGCGAAATCAGTCAGATCGATGGGGAAATATCAATTTTGGAGAAAATCGACTCAACTGTTTATCCGATAGCGTTGTTTCCGTGCAAACAGAAGTTTCCCTGTCATTCGATTTTGTGGTGTCAAGGTCCCACAAAACATGGATTCTGGCTATACTACGTGTTAGAGATTACCCCGCAAGTTTAGTTACTGGATTTATTCACTTTTTCGTAATCAGGGCCTGGCAATAGATTTTCTGTCGAATATTCTACATACATTTTCTTAAGAACTTTCTTAAGGGCGAGTTGCCCTCGTCACTTCCAAGGTTACTACATAAATCACACGTAACTAGACTAATTTTCCATACCCATTTCAGTGTCAGGGAACACCATTTTCATGAGACATCCTGTGAATTCTTTGAGATAGTACAAGGCCAGCTTCTTAGAAAAATGAGATTCAAATCAAAGACTATTAAAAAATACCTTTTTATGTTTTTACGAGAGAAACTGGAAATTTTAATAAACACTCGGGAGAGTGCGCGCTCCTGAGTAGTGTGGGACCACGAACCCTTTGATGGGGAAACCATTCCGGAACCGCCTTCGCATTTCTTCGGAATAGCGTCTTGTCGTTTGCCCTCGAGGGCGTATTTCGTCGTTTTGCCTCTTATTTTTACCCATTTATGTTTCGACCGGGCATTTCTTCTACTTTTTTGGTGCGGAGTACCTTTTCCATGAAGGTAGATGTCCCCAATTTTCTTCGCCGATATTGAATTGAATTGATGCCTTATTTTAAATGGCGATTTAAATTTAGCACAGAGGCTTCATTTAGGCTTGATCTTTTACATGCAGTAAATCTACTTAACATGAGACAACCGGCTTTATTTCCCTTCCATAGGAAGACATTGTTTCGCACCATTGTCGCCGCGGTATCTCTACGATGTTATCAGGGGTTATTGCCCCAACCTGTTTTTGTAGTGAAATGTCTGCTGCCCATTTCTCGCAGACAAATAATGTGTGCTCAGCGTCATCTGTTAGTTTGTGGCGGTACACGCTCTCCCCACTTTTCTACTTTCTTAATCCGGTGGAGGTATTTGCAGAAATATCCGTGAGAAACTGTATTAGATGAAAGGAGACTTTCCTCTGCTTACGCCCGATCGAAGGGGATATTTGGGGGATGAGCCTGGCTATCTTCCTCTGCTTTCATTTTCCTAGGTGTTCTGCCAGAGCTACGGGCTCGTCGACTTCTCAATTCAGTCTTCGTCTGGTAGATATTTCCTTTCCTGAGAAAGAAGGTGAATGAGTGTGACTCCAGCACTGCAGGCAACCCTACAGGACCCACTTCTATAGGGGCAGACAACCCTCAGTGCTCTGTTCCGCGCTGAAGCGTTGCCGGTGGTGTTTCCTTGCGAGTGCGTCTGCCCATATCTCCGATCCGTACAGCATAATGCAGCGCTCCACGGAGACGAGTAGACGCCGCTCCGACGTTGGCTATCAGTTCCTTCAGAGCTCCAGTCACTTATGAAGCCTTATCCCCTGCCCGTCTTCAGGTGAGTTTGATGTCAAACGTGAGGCTAAGGTATTTCCCGGACGGCTTAGTCTGAATAATCACTGTATCGACAATCATAGGAATCATTGTCGGGATCTTTTTTGTCGAAAGAATGAGTTGTGACTTTTCCGTAGCAAAACAAAACCCGTGATCCTCCATCCATGTTGTGATGTGTCTCATCACCTAGTGAAGCTTCCACATCCTTGTGTTGGGCGAATATCAGCACGGACTCAGATTCTGTCTCGCTCTTTGGGCTCGTCGTCAGACCTTGACACAATTTTTCCTCAGCTCCGCTATCTCTTCTGTCCACCAATTCTTATGTGCGATCTTTTGAATCTGCGCTCGAGACGATGCTCGCCCTGCAACGCATCATTAGGTTTAAGGACTGGGCAACATCGGAACGGCAGACGGACTATTTGTTATGTTCAAGAAATGAGATACTGTAGTTCGGTCAACACAACTTTATTCCATTTAACGGTACATTTTTGTGAAACTCCGCACACAAGAATTGGTGGACGGAAGAGATAGCGGAGCTGAGGAAAACTGTGTCAAGCTCTGACGTCGAGCTCAAAGAGCGAGACTGAATCTGAATCCGTGCTGATATCCGCCCAACACAAGGATGCCGAGAAGAAAGTGAGAGGGGCGATCGACCGAAACAAATCTCAGCGCTGGCAGATTCTCATCAGCGTAGACCACATAGGGACACGGGTCTCTCGGGCTACAAAATAGTAACCCGAGATCTCAGAAAGCGAACATCGGAGGGAAACCTCGGCGCAGATTCCATTCGTCTCATAGCGAACCCATTGTTTACCAGGCACCCACTTAGACCGCCGGACAAGTACGCAGAAGATAGTACAGATATCCCGCTCTTCGAAGAACAAAAAACCAGAGAAACAACTACCAGCCTCCAAAACAGGCAGGCCCCAGGGCCTCATGACATACCAGCAGAAGTCCTGAAAATAGCGGCGGGAGAAAGCCCGAATCTTCTGCTGAGCATGTATAACACCTAAGAGGGGGTATGTTCCCTAAGCGATGGAAGAAGCAGCAGTTGGTCCTAACAGATAAGGGTAAGGGTGAACCTCATCTACCGTCGTCCTTCAGACTACTCTGCTAGCTCGACACGGCCGGGAAGCTACTCGAAAGATGCTCAAACCACGTCTGCTGGTGGCGATTCGCGCTGGCGGAAACCTATCGGAAAGAAAATACGCTTTCAGGATTGGGCCATCTACTGGACGAGCATTTGTCCCATGAGATGAGCGCTGCATAATCCTTGCTGCTCCATGTTGCAATTTTCAATCAGTTTGGATTCATCTAACGTGTTGACATTCCAGCCCAGTTTTCTGCTTCCGGGTTTCTGCTGGTGGGAGTGTCCTTTCGGCCACAGGCAAAAGGTGATGTACTGGTGGTCACTGCCTGTGTAGTTCTCGATCACTGACGACTCTCTCCAGTTGCGAACCTGATATCCAGAATAGTTTGCGCTGATGGTAGGGATGAAGCCGTCGTTAAGAACTATCAGGTCTTGTCTGGCCGCCATCTCCAAAAAGTGTCTTCCCGTAGCGTTCGACGTTGAAATGCCTCATTTCGGTACTCTAGCGTTGAGGACACGTCTCCCTAAGGTATTTCCATCTACCAAGTATCATGTCTTCTAGGCCTTCAATTTTCCTGCGGTACTTGTCTATCCCCTCGTTGGGAGTCATATGGCAGCTCGCAGTAGTGATTAACCCGTTTTTATCCAAACAAAGCTTCTGCCGAATCAGTGACTTTCTACAGAGAGCTGGCGGCGTCAATGATCCATGCAGCCGTTGTACCTAGGGTGTCAGAGTACCATCCTCGGCCGCCCCGGTTTCGGTAAGGTTCGCTGATAATTATTGTTGGGAACCATTGTTCCATCGCCAGCTGGTTTAGAAGTTGTTCAGTTGTTCGGCTTCTGTTTGTACATCTCTGCTTGAGATTTATCATTTGGCTGTCTTCTTTAGATCCCCTCTGTTGACTTGGCTTTATCGGGGTTCCGAACGAGTTTCGGTCCCTCTGATGGGATCCCTTCGTCGGCGCGTAAGACGCATTTTGGGGAACTCGCAACGCATGTTTGGGCCTTATGCCTTTCCTCACCCCATCTGTAGCACGTGCTCTTTCGACCTGGGCCTCTGCAGTCTCGTAAGAAGTGCCCGTATCCTATGCATCTATGGCATCGAGTGACGTACCTCTTTACTTGGCAGTCAATCCACCAAACTCTTTGTTTTTTGTCCTCTCTGCTAGTTCGATGAGGACACCCATATTTTGCTTGTGCTTCATAGTTCGTTTCACGAACTATGGCGGTGGTGAGACCACTCCTTCAAGTTGTGCAATCCTTAACGAAATTACAATCCATACCCAAGATTCAAAGAAAATAAGGAGCACTATCTGATAAGTAAATAGGTCCCTAAGTAATAACTGACCTCTGACTCAGTAGCGTAATGAAATGAATGCGAGCCTGCCCGCAAGACTTTTAACGGGATCCCCCTTTATAAAAGTTTATAGCAAACACAAGTAGTGTTAGCACATTAAATAATAAAAATGTCCTTTAACAAATTCATATTTGTTATACAAAAAGAAAAATGCAAACATTAACGCTTTTTCCCTCTTCTAGAACTAAGAAATGGATGTTCTGTCGGGCTTGCTTTGTTACGGACGTTCATGAATACTTTGTACATTCAAGATGAGTAATAAAATAACATTAATACAAAGAAATTAATAGGTTATGGGCCTAGGCCACGTGTGAATTGTGTTTTCTAGAGTGGTTCCGAAATTGAACGTCCGAAGAAAGTGCTGTTTTTATACGTCTGAACTGGAACTTTGTGAGTAAACAACAAACATGGCTACCGGAAGTGACTACAATACAAGTGGGTAATCTTGAAGGACTTTCAGACTTGGCAAAGTGGAAGTGGCATATTTCGATGGTGTTGCATGCATATGAACTTGAAGACATTGTTAATTGTTCGCGAGCGTGTCCGTTTTGGGAGATATGCAACCCCATGGGAGTATACCCCACAGCAAAATGGTGTGGCGGAACGTGAAAATCGAACCAATGGCGAGAATGCGCGTTCTCTGTTGAATATAAGTAGCCAAAAGAACTGTGGGCAAAAGCATGCAATACTGCCACATTCTTCCTGAATCGCACTGGAAAGTCTTCCATTGAAACTAAGTCTCCTTATGAATTGTGGCATGGACGACCAGTTTGAAGTCTCAATAATTTTAAGATTTTCGGAACAGTGCACATCTACGTGCACATCAACAAGAACTTTCGCTCTAAGTTAAACGATAAAGCTATTCATGGACATCCGATTGGATACGTGAATGACAGGAATGGATTCAGGGTCTGAGCCACGATGTGAGATTCAAGCCTGACGTTTTCCGCAATGTGCGCGTCAATACCGACAAGCTTGAGGATTCATATGAAAACCTTGCATCATCCGTTGTACAAAAGCCAGAAGTCAGCGATGAAAAGGAAGAAGAATGGAGTGAAGCTGAAGAAGTTGCGCCAATGTCCAGTTACGGAGGAAGTGATGTTCCAGCGGTAGGAGATGCCAAAGAAGAGACAACAAAGCAAACGTGAATCAAAGAAACCATTGTGGATGACTAGCGGAAATTTTGTCTTCATGGCCGGTTCGTCGATCACTGAAAACAAGAATCCAAACTCCTACATTGAAGTGCTGCAGTCTCCTGACAGAGAAGAGTAGTAAGACACTTAAAGAAGAATTGGGTTCCTTAGAGGAAAATGATTCCTTGGTGTTAGTCTAACGTTCAAAAGATGTCCAAATCTTGCAGAATCACTGGATCTTCTGCCAGAAACTGTTGGATAGTGGGAAATTCCGCTTCAAGGCTCGATTGGTTGTAAAAGGTTTCGTACAAAACAAGGAATTTATTATGAAGAGAAATTGACCTGTTGGACGATATGAAACCATTCGGATCTCTTGGCGGTGACTGCGGCGTTTGGAATGATCAGTTTGATGTCAAAACCGTTTTTGAACATCGCGCTAGAAGAAATATATGCATATAGAACAACCCGAGGTTTTTAATGACAATACTGAACGAGTGTGTTAGTGAAGAAAAGTTTGTATGGCTTGAAACAAGCGCCTTGCAGCTGGAACAAGCCACTTGAGAAGTTTACGGAGAAAGCTGGATTCAAAAACAGTAGTGCTGATCCATGTCGGTTCTACCGCAGGAGATGTGGGAAACATGTGTAAGTAGTAATTTTTGTGGATGACGGTGTGGTTATTGCAACTGAAATAGAACTCGAGTAATTCATGGAAATGTTACGGCAGGGATTTCATACGACCAGAGGATCTCCCAGAAAATTCTTGTGCCCACGAATACAGCTAAATCAACATGGATCAAGAAGACAACACACGAAAAGTTTTGGAAAGATTTGGAATGGCTGAGTTGAATGGAGTGACTACTCCAATTGGGAAGGAGAAAAGGTTACATCCACGGTCTTATCATGAGATAGTTGGTTCTTTAAAGTACCTGACCAACTAAACGATCTGATGTTGCTTTCGCAGTTAATAAAGCAGCTCGGCCCATGGAAAATCTTACAAATCAAGATGGGAATCAAGTGAAACGAATATTTCGATACTTGGAAGATTGCCGTAAACTATGGAATTGTCTTCAAGAAGGGACAACCTTTGGTCTGCGCTGGTAACAAGAAGTTAAACGACAGGTGACACTGCAATCTTCAATGATGGAGCAGTATCGTGAACCAGTCAATTGCAGATGTCAGTGGTAACGTCGACTATGGAAGCTTAAATAATGGGGTGATCTGGGCTGTCCGGGCGACGCCGCGTCGAAGGCTGAGTTGCCGACGTTTCGACCATCCTGTC